GCAACACATCATCTGTAGCTGAAGCATTAACCTAACAAAATGACACAAATACAGTCCATCCGATGTTCTTACAGACATTTATTCACCCAAACGCATTTATACCTTACAGATAGCATTGGTATAAAACAAATAAGGTGATTACATGTGTTTTAAAGTTGACCTAACAATTTAATGTTCTCTTACTGCTTTATTTCGTCTTCACGAGTCTCCCCGCCGGTCTGCCAGCGCACTGCGGGAGGAAAATACTGGTTAGCACAGCTTTACTAGGAAAGTGAGCAAGTAACATTAAAATAATTCATACAAGACGATAAAGAAAAGTGTATAGATGTGTTTTAGCGTACCTCTGTGACTCTCGCGCTGCGGCCGGAGGAAAAGACCGGTTCATACAGCTCCACTCAGGGAACTGAGATATTCTTACGGAAACTTAAACCTGGCTTTATATCGCGCAAATAACATCAGCATACAACGCATCAAGCGATAAAAGAGTCAAAAATGAAAATGAACCTACCATACTCCAGTGGTTTTTCATCTTCACGAGTCTTTCACAGAGCCGGTGTGTGGTTGTTTTTCGCAGTCATTAGGACTACTGGTTTTAGATTGACTAAATATAGTAGGCAAATATTTTTTCAAAATGCACTGAAAATCTAAACCTGAGAAACAGTAATAAACACACTGACAGTTAATATTCGGACATCTGAAGTTTAAAGACCTGGTTTAGATCTTTTCTTTGACACACAGATTTACAGATGGGATCTGTGGTCTGTTGGTCTTGCTATGATCTAATATCTAATAATGAGTCAACGTTTTTCCCTAACAGAGATAGCATAAATTCCTGTGTTTGGGCCCCCCTCCCTTTCATAAAAGCAATTTTAGTCTTCTTTATTTTAGTAGCCCTTTCTTCCCTGTTTTATCAAAAAGTTGTCTTCCTTCAACCTATGATCCAAGAACATTGATTTGAGAGGAGTGGAGAAGGATAGTAATGTTTGCACCCCTTGCTACTACTTGTGTGGTTGTTTCAACTGTAGACGGTTCAACCTGTGGACCTCTATAGACTCTTCACAAACACCATGAATGCGTATTGCACACAAAAATGGCAATAGCTTGCTCAAAATGTAAGCTCCAATCTGATTGGCTAGCTGTAAGTTCATTACATCAATTCTGTTTGAGATACTCTAGGTACTTTCACAATGACAGTGATTCCCAGTGATTTTTACAAGATGCGGCGACTACCAACAGGAGTAGGAATGCCTACTTGAGACCAGCAGCAATGGTAGAGCATTCATTCAATTGCATGGTCCAAATCCAAGTTCGATTCCACACCTGTCCACTTGTACAAGATAGTCCAGATAACTTTCACACTTTGTAAACCAAACTGGAGTCCACTTGAACCGTATCCTAGATCTCTCAAGTAGACTCAGTATGGTTTATAAAACAGCTTGGTTCCACACCAAAAGCTGAAGAGTGAAAGTTACCTTAGTAGCAAGTAAGCAAGACATCTTTGCTCTTAGGGATATATCCTGTTTCACATGCACCTAAAGCAGGGGTGTCCAAACTCAGTCTTGGAGGGCCACTGTCCTGCAGAATTTACCTCCAACTTGCCCCAATGCGCCTGCCTGGAAGTTTCCAGTTTGCCTAGTAAGACCTTGATTAGCT